CACTCACCTGTACAAAGCATGCAACGAGGAAAACTGTAGAAACACTGAATAAAGCTGCCCAGTAGCTCTGGAAATCGCGTTTCGACTGTAGTGTATACACGAACAAACTGATCACAATCAGTGTCGTTAGGCCAACTGCTTCAATCACAACTTTCACATCGAAGAATGATACTGAAATTAAACTCCATGACTGCGTAAATACCAAACAAAGAAAAGTAAATTAAGTGACCACTCCTTCGATGCTGAAGACAAAAAAACTACACAAAATTTCCTTCGTTTCCACCAAAATCCTGGAATAAATTCTGATTTAAAGTTTCAAATTCTGATTTAAATTCTGATTTAAAGTTTCAAATGCTAAATCTTCAGCTTACATCCTTCCCGAACATACCAACGATACCAAGTCCGCCTCAGTAACCAGTGTGGAGATCCTATGCTAGTGATGTTACTGGGATGCTCAGTCCGTCCGACACAATTATACCAGGCGCTTTGAACCTTCAAAAATACATAGCGTGAGACTGCAAATTACAACAAAAATTTTTAAAAAATTTCTAGTATGGAAAATCTAAAACGTAGGTCTTAAAAATGGAATTTTCGGAAACTGGGATTTTCGAGAAAGTAAAAAAATTACTGGGTATTTTTCCCTCGAAAAAACCGTTTTTTCAAAAAAAAAATCTATCTGCAACCGCAGCACTCAAGCATACAAAATCACAAATCATGCCCTGTTGCAAGTGACCTATATAATCTATACAAGTCGAAGAGGGAAAATACTATTCAATCCGAGTGTTCAAAAGATTCTTACCGACTGTGCCTACAGTGATAGACTGCATAACAGTCCACGCCACCAGTAGAATGTAATTGAGTGGGACAGAATGTGCGTTGAAAAACATTGCTACAAGCAGAAAAAGCGATGCGAAGATCGAGCCGACTACTATCCATGACCTGAAACAGTATCAGAAAAATTCAGAAAAAATGCGCGACCAACGGGAAAATCTTTTTCATCGATGCTTTCGACCGAGGCGTATCATTGTTCCAGGTATCGCTGTTTTGTTACTGGAGTTATTATATTATTACTGCTATTATTATTATTATTATTATTATTATTATTATTATTA